ATTATACTTGTGATGGATTCTGGTTATATTTGTTATGGACTTGTTGATATTCATTTTCTTTATTAGTTATATCAACTGCTGGATGGTATGGAATAGTTGGTATTTACTTATATATTTGTATTGCTAACTATTGGATGAATGGATGGTATGCACCAGTATGAGACGGTGACATACTAGGGACGGATTGGTTTCAAAATACTACATCCTACCTACACGGAATAAGGGAATGGATTCTAAAATAAATCCTACTTATACTTAAGTCAAATAAGCTGCACAAGCTGAGTAACTCACTGGATTGCTTGTTATATATGTTAACTCAAAGAAGCTACACAAGCTGGATGACTAACTGGATTGCTTGTTATCAATGTTAAGTCAAAGAAGCTGCACAAGCTGAACGACTAACTGGATTCTTTATGGATAGTTAGGATCGGACTTTAGATATATTTTTATGGTACCGCGATATGAACTTGAGTCTCAGAGTCGTCGGTTAGGGAGCATATATGCAGTAGGATGCGTAGCTGGATATGAGAGGTTGAGGTGTACCCTGTTAGGTCTAGGTACTCATACCCACCTATGGGTGCGTTTTCGCATGTTGCCTTCTGTTCAGGTTGAGACCTTCTCCATAGTCCAGTGAGAGTCCTGTAGTGTGAATATACACACGTACGGACTAATAGCTATTGTTGAGTTGGTTAGAATGTATATGCTTATCGAGTCTCTGCTTGGATTGTCGTAGGTTAGAACTTGTTCGTAGACCTAACCCACCTTTATTTTTCAAGTACTCATCAGTTCTAGACTTAGACTTGATCGTGCTGAGCAGAGACTACTACTCATTCTTCTGATGACGTAGGACTTTTCTCCATGGTTTACTCTGGATGTTCTTTAAGTAGCTTTCATTTCAGTTTGGATTATTATTAGGGGTCCATTAGAGACGGATTCCCTAGATGTATTAGAATTGGAGAAGTTGGATGTATCAGATTAATTCTTTATTTATAAAATTTTATTATGAGGTTTTCAGTTTTGGATTATCATTTTAGTTTCGTTTCAGTAGTTTTATTTATTCTTGTTTATCTTAACTGTATTATGTGTTCATTTATTGCTAATTGGTTTGATATCCTCGGGTAATCAGGTGTGGGCCTGGCCAAGCCGCATCCGAAAATCTGGGGGTATCACAATATCAAAATGTACATACTATATAAAACAACTCGCGCAAATTTCAAAAGGTTACAAGTACGCAGACATAAATGAACAACATCATAAAATTAAAGTCAAATACATATTGGAATGACTGTCAAGAATCAAAGAGTTGTTGTTGAATTGGTCAGCCTATCTTTGAAATTGGCAAGTGGGACGTTGGCGTGCCAGTCGATTGGTAATTGTTTATATCTGGTATCTTTGAATATGATAATAGGACAAAATGCAATCTAATTTACATCTGGAGTTGTTCTTAAATGCATGTTCCACCTTAACAACACATTTGCCTGGTTAGTTAATGGAGTATTGAGTTCACCACATTAATATTGCAGGTGGTGGTGGCGTCACATATGAAAATTCTTATAGTTGAAACAATATTGACAGTAACAAACAGGTGGTAGGGGATTGTTCAACTTTGACTGCCACCTACCTCTCTAGGTAACATAATAATGAGATTTATTACGTGTGCATAATTTAATAGACAAATGGTATTACTTATGAAACTACATTGAAAACGGTAAGGGGAGAAAAGGACCTCAACCTGAACTGTTTCTTTCGTTGAGTTCATCTTATTGTGAATCTTTAGCTCCATGGTTGATTTCAACCTCTGACATTTTCATTTACATGTATATTTACAATTGAGGCTATTGGGGATTTTATTAGTGCTTTTGTTGCTTCCTAATTTTGCCTTTACCACAACTATAAATTGCATTCATCTCAGCAAATTTACTACTATAGTTTTGTGACCCATTAAGATTATTAAACAAACACAATATATCAAGAATCCAAGGCCCTCAATTGCAAACCAAATTCAAACCAAAGCCAATCAATTTTCTACAACGTTAGGATAAGACTATAAAAAAAATTAAAGTTAATGAATATATTTAATTTCGTATAATAATGTGACAGTTTAATTTTTTTATTTTACTTTTTTCAACTGAGACATGAACTTCAAATCTTTTTTGGGGCTAGTATGTTCTTAAATATTAAAGCTATGCTAAGTTATTACTAATTATTACGACCACTCATAATTCTCAATTACCATTACAAACAATATCAAACAAAAACATATGATCCATTCTGTATAACAAAGTACATCCCAACTCTTTTCAAGTATGTATCAGCAATTAAATTTGAACAATTTCTCATCCATTTATTAATTATCAACTATATACGGATACTTAAAAATATAAATTCCTCTCCAATATTAATTAGGGTTCACATGTCATAAAAAAAAAAGGTTAAGAATTATTCTTCAAAATATGAACCCAATTAATTATAGAACAATAAATGCAATATTTGTTTCCAACATTAATTATGGTTCGAAAATTTTGTAATATGAAGAATTAAATATGAACCCAATTAATCATAAGAACAATAATTATGCAATATTTGTTTCCAACTTTAAAAAGCTAAGAACAATAATCATGCAATATTTGTTTCGAACATTAAAAAGGGCTGAAATTTTTTCTTCAAAATATAATCCTAAAGAATCAGTACAATGATAAATGCAATATTTATTTTCAACATTAATTAAGGTTCAGAATTAAAACAAAAGGAACCAAAATTTTTTTTTTTTTATTATTTTTTTTAATACAAAATCCGAATCCAAATAATCATAAGAACAATAAATGCAATATTTGTCTCCAACATTAATTAGGGTTCAGATACCATACAACATATATAACCTTTAATAGTAGTTCAGATTAGGAATAAACTTATAAATACATCAACAAACTAAAAAAAAAAAACAAACCTAATATATTGAAAACGATTTTAACTGGAAATAGGTAAGTCTTTATCTTTGTAAACCCAAATAATTTACGCTGGATACTTTCGCAATCTTTCTCTTCTCTTTCTTCCTTCTTATAACTTTCCTTTTCCAGCCATTCATGTACCCGAGAATTCACAGCATGTACTAGTTGCTCTGTTTCCTTGGAAACAATTATCTAAGGAAGTAAAAAAAAGAAAGAAGAATAAATTTTAGGAAAGAGATGAAACCTCTCTTTTGTTTTGGTAACAAATAAAAATCTGATTTTATTTTGGGCTTTGGGAGAAGAAGATACAATAAAGGCGGGCTTTTGAAATTTCAATTTTCAAATTGGCTGCAACACTGTTATGATATATGTATATATTTAAATACATATTTTTACTTTTTTTCTGCCGCTACAGTGAAAACCGACCAGAACAGAAGCACTATTCCAATGGAGAGGATTTTGGTCCTATATATGTGTGTGTTGGTGTTGGGGCGACAAGAGGAGAAAGAGAGAACGGAGAGAGGAAAGAAGGAAAGAAATGGGCATGGTTTGCACATATAGGTTCGAAAGATCATTTAAATATTCAAATTGGTCAATATAAAAGTCAAAGGGCAAAAATGTCAATTCATTACCATTAAGGTGTATTTGATAATTTCAAGTGTCTTTTTTATCTGTGTATTTTTTTGGTAAATCTTGAAAAGGTGTTATTGGACTTTGCTTTTAATACTATTAGTTTCTTACTATCATATAACTCAAATACTCTTTGAGTTTAAAAACAATTTATATATTTGCGCAACACTGCAATACAATATAAATGTATCACAACACAATTGCATCAATACTCATTACTAATGCAACATCATCCTTAAGTTGATTTGTTTAACACATTTGCATTGACATTGCATTAATCATTAAAATTTTTACATTCATGATTTAAATTTACTGTATTATGGACGAAAATGACATCATAAAATCTTGATTCTTATATGATATTTTTGGTTTTCTTGTTTCCGATAATTAATATGATATTTTTGTTTACAGTTCTTGTATCTTGATTTGTTAATGAATAACGACAAATGGTGTATGTCATGTACCAAATATTTGTGTCCGTTTTTAAAATCGAATATAATTGAGAAATTTGGATATTCATAATTCGTTACATGTATAGAATATAAAAGATACATGTAACCGTATGATAAAAGATGGCCAATTATCCAATTTGATTTGTTTGAATTTTTAAGAAATGTGTTTGGATTGCATTGGTCCCATTTATCTCATACCACCTAACCAAACCATTTCGCATTGGCGAGAAGATATTTTATTGACAAAAATACCCTCCATAAATAGATGAATGGGTATGTCAATGACTTTCTTGACCTTTAGCAAGACAAATGGAACGACGATGTGGCCACACTAACCACTCATGACTCAACCCAATCTCTTCAGAACCAATCACTTTTGTGACTCCCAAGAATCCTGTGTACGAAAGCACCAAAACCGTGAGCTCTCCCTACCATCGTGATTTGACCCAACTACCCCTATTCCTGAATATGCTCACTCCATCTCTAGTACAAGTATTAAATTTTTAACTTTTGAAGTTGTATTTTAAATAGAAGTTTTATATAGTAATTATTTTCTTCAAATAATTGTATCATTTTTTAATTTTTTATAGAGACAATTTTATCATTCTTTATAAACTTGTGTTGTTATCAAATATAGTAATACTTTGTTAAAATTCATTATTGTATAATTGGCAATATAATTAGTTTAAATAATATTATTATCAAACAAATTAAAGTAACTTTAATTATAAAAAATATTTTATATAATGTATCATAAACACTTAAAATATATTATTTGTTCAATTTTATGGCAGTTTTATTAATAAAAGTGTTTAAATAAATAAATACTATATATATATAAAATTATAACACTGACGCCAAATGGGCCATTAGTCGATAATTCAAAAAAGAATATTCTCTGCGAAAAAGTACGAGGACAGTATCGCCATTTCCAGCGTAAAAAATAAACTTACTAACAAAACCATGAAAAATGAAAATCATATAATGTATATATACACGCACACACCATCTCCACAGTACGACCAGAAGTGAATCAGAGAGAAACCCTTTTTTCTGACAATCGATAAAAATGGGCAGGAAATTCTTCGTCGGCGGCAACTGGAAATGCGTGAGTCTCTGGTTCCATATTTGCCCCTCATGAATTGCATAGTTTTCCAATCTCTGGTCGTATGATCTGTTTTTCAGTCTGAAATTATAGTCGATGTTAGATATAGATGTTGTATACAATATGTGAAACATGGATATACATATAAATTCTATCAATTTTTATCGAATTTTAAGTTAGTTGTTTGTTAATATATTGTTGAGAGCTTAAATTCTTTCACACGCACAGGCGATTTGAACTTGAAGAAGTAAAAGAAAAAGATACGGAGTAATTCTTAAAATAAAATATTATGTTTCTTGAAGAACTCTTAGGTTCTATTTAGATCGAGGATTAAAATGAATGGATTTGAGTTTAATTATTTAAGGAGTGTAGTTTAGATTTACATTGAATAGTCGTGATTTAAGTTTCAATATGGTGCATAGATTGATCTGAGAGTTCATATGCATGATTCAATAACAAGGATTCTAGTTGAATAATGATCCGAATAAAATGTATTTTCCACATCTATACCCGTAAATCGCTTTTGTCCTCTCAATTTAACGTCAATAATTGATCTATCATTCAAAATCCAAATCCCTTATTATAAAAAATTCATTGATTCATGCAAACTTTCATTTAAAATTAAAGTTATTTTCTTCTTTTTTTTTTCATAATTATTTTGGAAGTTAAAAGTTTTGTTGGCTATTCAGACTTCTTTTGAGGTTCAGAGTTTGGAAAACTCGCACTGACCACTTGATTTGTTAGTGCAATGTCACACTCTAAAAGCCATTTTTGGGAAGCATAAGTTTTTTGTTCAATGAAAGTACGGGAATGTTAGGTTCCCATTAAAAGCCATTAAAAGTTTGATTGCTCATATATGAAATATGCTTTTAAGTTGTAAGATTAAACCTATTTCATGGCCTGAATTGAACATGAATGCAGAATGGAACCTCCGAAGAGGTGAAGAAGATTGTTGGGATGCTTAATGCTGGTCAAGTGCCCCCTGAAGATGTTGTTGGTAAGCAAACGGAAGATAGACTTTTTATCTGAGTTGTTTTGTTGCATTGCTGTTAATGCTTTCAGTTTCATCCACACCATCTGCGTGGAAGATGTCCAATCTCAGAATGACCTATAATTGTTGTTGATATTTGATCAAATTTCTGCGTGCAACACCAGCATTGTAGTTCTTATTCTTGCTTATTCAGCTTTCTCTATGTAACTCAGTCCTGTCCTTGAGCTAGGATCTCAAAATAATTTTCCTTTTCATGCACATGATTTTAGCTTGACAGTTGTCTTTATATAAAGCCAGTCTTTTGCGTGGGACATTATTTATATTACGTGTACCACATTTTGTAAAAGGAAACTTTTATTTAATTTATGCTTCTTTGGAGACCATTTTGGAGTAGAAAGGAAGAAGAATTACGAGTTAAAAATGTGCAATACATGGAAGTTTTTTATTTGAATTGCCACCTTGCATAACCTCTTGGACCACTTAGAAGATTTAAAAGCTAAAACAAGGAGTTGTTGAGTCGATTTGTGTTCCATTGCTTTCCATGGTCAAAAAATAATTTGCTCACTCTGAAGTATTCTTGTATTCTTTTCCATCCCTGCTTTATGGGTCTTCAAATTTTTGATGGATTAAGGAATGAACTTGCAGAGGTGGTGGTTAGCCCTCCATTTGTGTTTCTTCCATTGGTAAAAAGTTCGCTGAGGCCTGATTTTCACGTTGCGGCACAAAATTGTTGGGTCAAGAAAGGTGGTGCTTTCACTGGTGAAGTTAGGTATGTTTAGGCCTACATTCAATAATGTATATCATGTTGCAATCCTTGACTTACAGTGTATTGAACTATTCCATCAAAACCACCTTTTCAGTTGTTGGACCAAGTTCAACACATAATATTCGACCCGTTCGCCTTAACTTGTGATACATATGTTGTCATATATCCATGTTTTATGTATGTTTATTACATTGAATACTCTTCAGAAAGTTTATGAAAGAAAAAAAAAAAGAAAAAGAAAAAAGGAGGGAGGGATTGTTCATATGAAATTCTTTAAAAATTGTGATTAATATTAATAAAAATTACATTATATTATTTTGACGATGAGGAGTCACGATTCTTTGCACCTTGCATGGATTGGAGAGAGGAAGGGAGGGATTGTTTATATGATATTCTTTACCTGTAAAAGAACGTGGTTAATATTAATATTAATAATATTTTTTGATAGTTTGGTTCAGGTCCTGGTTGCCCAGTACTCAACTAGAGCCAAATTATAATTGAGGTCTGGTTGAGGTGTTTCTAACCTGGCCCAATCCCATAGATCTAAATTGAAGCCTAAACCTGCTGATAATTTAGTGTTGAACATGATTTGATAGCACCCTAATATACCAATATGGTGGAAATGGAGGTCATATGGGCTTTAGAACTGGGTTGCCTTCACATTTGAGCACTGGAGTGTAGCTGGATACCATCTGCTTTCAGAAGCTATAAGATAGATTTTTTTTCCTGAATGGACAATAAGATAGAATTTCAAAAGTACCAGTACTCAATCTTGACATACCATATTAAGCAATGTAATATTCTGATTCTGCCAGATTTATGCGCACAAAGGATTGCAAAAAAAATAATTTGTTGGTTTGTTAAAGTTTGCTTTCTCTTTGTATTTCATTGCTATCGGCATTTGGACTTTCTTACTCACCATACAATGATTGATACAAGTTTGATTTCATGAAATTTCGTTCAGCGTTAGTTCATCGTATCTTCTCTGTTAACTGAGCTTTGCCTGAGCTCGTGTGTGCGACATGTCTTCCTATGTTCATCATTAATGCTGAATATTTTCAGATGCAAAAATTTGATATTTTGTTTTTTGCATGTGTAGTGCTGAGATGCTTGTCAATTTGGGGATTCCTTGGGTGATTCTTGGTCATTCTGAAAGGAGGCAGCTGTTAAATGAGTCAAATGAGGTTACTTGTGTTTCACGGCCCCATAACTATTTATTTACAATGATGTCAACTGACTGAGTTTTTTTTGCTTCTTAATTGACAACTGCTTATAATTTACTTGCCAATTTGGAACTTGTGTTCATTTCAGTTTGTTGGAGATAAGGTTGCATATGCTCTTGCTCAAGGCTTGAAGGTAATAGCTTGTGTTGGGGAGACTCTTGAGGAGCGAGAATCTGGATCTACTATGGATGTTGTTGCTGCACAAACTAAAGCAATTGCAGGTGCATATTTTATTGCTGTTCTAAAGAAACTTTTGCACTATTATTTTCTTGTGGCTGTTATTATGGATTCTCTATCTATTTTGTGTTCTATACTAGCGTCCTTATTACTTTGCTCTACCAGTCTTGTTTTCACAAGGTAGCCTTGGATTAGTGAGTTTAGTTTCGCATTGATAAATTTCATGGATCATCTTTTAACTATTTTGGTTTGCATGGTTTATAAACCACATTTAGTAATTAATTAATTTATATTCTGAATCTAAAGAATGCAGCCTTCATTTAGCGGTCAGAAGTTGTTAAATATAGTCTTTATTTTTAGGATATCATAGAACAGTTTGATTTTATGTGATTTGACATTCTACCTTTGATTATTTAATTTAAATCTTAATCCTGGCTTCGAGTTTTTAAATATTTTCCTTTTGAGGCTAAAAATATATACTTTTCATTATTGGGCTTTTTGTTTATTCCCATTTCTTTTTGTAAAAACAAAAGAATTATGGCTGCTATGAATATAATTGTGGCAATTCAACAAACACTGAACTTCTATTGACTTTGTCCCTTGTGGTGACTCGGGACTATTCTCAGAGACAAGGCTTTTGAATATGCAAAGCTTTTCCCTTTTCCTTGGTGTTTTTATGTTACCGAACTTTAAACACAACTATGGGATGTTGGATTGGAAATTGCTAGTTGGATAGTATAGTATGATTACAGTCATGTATTTCCTGGATTGCTTTCTGATCTCATATTCAAGCACTGGGCTTATAGCAGTTCATGTACTTTAATATCTTGTAGATCTCGTATTCGAGGACCGGATTAATAGCAGCTCATATATTGTCAATATCTTATACATTCAAAACTTAATTAGCCTCTTGAAGGCTCCAAATTAATTGGCTTGGTAGGATTTTGAATGCTGCTGGGCTGAACTTGCAGTATTTAACTTTCCCTTTGACATAGAAATTTTGCAGACCCGCTCTAGAAAGATGAAGAGTTTACTCTGACAATTTGTTTGCCTTGTCCTCAGATTATTCTGATAATTCAAAATTTTCTTCATTTTTTGTCATTGCATTCTATGTATTTTTTAAATCTATTTAATATATTTGTACAAAACTCACTCAATTCAATTCAATAAAGCCTTGTCTCCACTGTTTTGGATCATTATTTCTCTTATGTGCTTTGACCCGTAAATTAATTTTATTTTTATTTTGTTCTGGCGGGTATATTTGATTTTTCCAAAGAAGAATGTGTAATTTGTTTTCCTGTTTCCACAACCCTGTCTAAGTCTTTTCGGATTTTAAATATCACATTGTTGCTGCATCCACAACTGACACCATTTTAGGAAGAAATTCATTGGATCATTGTCTTGACTCTCATATTGGGAAAATTATCATTGTCTACCTCACTTCCATGATCGTCTTTTCTTCACATCATATCTGATTGCCAGTGGGACTACTTTCCATTGGTATAATGGCCAAGTAAATTTGTTTGAATGAAAAGTTCTATGAATTGGTACTTGTCTTACTGAGCGGTGGCTATTTTATATGTTTGTGTTAAAAACATTGATGAAGACTCTGTATGAATCATGACACAAATAGTATATTTTCTTCATAATTGCTTCACATTTTTTTCTGTATCTCTTTCTATTGCAGAACGAGTACCAAGTTGGACTGATGTTGTTTTGGCCTATGAGCCTGTTTGGGCCATTGGAACAGGGAAGGTTGCTTCACCTGCTCAGGCTCAGGAAGTAAGTGGGACCTTGATCTAGCTGTCTTGATTTAATCTTGCCCCTTCTTATTACGTGCACACGTTATTAAATGCATAGTTTTAGTTGAACTTGATCGTATCTTTTACATTCGTATTGGTACAATCTATATATGGTATATGTTGTGTTTTAATTGGCGGTTACCAGTTTTATACAGGGAGGATTGTAACATGGGTGTCCCTATTTCCATTTTTTTTAAAAATGCTTTTTTTCTACAAAATAGATGCTACCATTGTGTTACATAATCTAAAGCCAAAAGAATAATAACAATAGTAAAATATTGGATGGTACCAGTGATGTGTGGTGTGGGGCCTTGACAGGAGGAAATTGGGCTTTAGTGCTTCTGAGGAGTCACAGTAAGAAAGTGAACAGGGAGGTCATGTTTTAAAGGACAAGAGTTGAGTTTGTTTAAGATATATTGGATGTTTTAAATACCAAAGATTGGGTCTGTCTTCAGTCTCTCATTCCCAGGAATCTGTATAAGCACAATCAATGTTGGCTTATTCCCTTTTAGGACGAAAAAAGTAGGCAAATGACCTGGTTTTCACTCTCCGACTTTTAGGAAGACTGGAGGTCCTACCCATGTGCTTTTGATCTGCTAGCTTATGCTAGAATTTAATTATTCAGCCGCTTTGTATGCTGTGCTCTGTATAGAAATGTGCAGAGATGGATAAAGGGCAGGGGATGCATTCATGAATTAGGTTCAGCTATTTGTCCTGTTATAGGTTGGGCGGGCCAATGGATGATTGATTATTGCTTTGCTGAAGGTAATGAATGTTGGCAAGGGAGTTTAGGTAAAAACCTCGGTGAGCCTGGCAATTGAATGTGAACAGCACAGTATGACGACTTTAGTACTCATTATTTAATGTAATTCAAATGTTCTGTGAACAAAAAGATTTAACTTTACACAATAATTCATACCTAAATTTACATGAAAAAATAATTAAAATGTATTTCCTTTTTGTTTTTTGTTTTGTTTTTTTTTTTTTCTCTTTGTTCTTGAAATGTCAAATCTTTTAGCCATGATGAGGGAGTCTTATAGCAGAAGTTGCCATGTGTTTTCCACTGTGTAGCTTCTTTAATAATAAGATTTTCTTTTTCTTTTTCCCACAGGTTCATTGTGGATTAAGGAAATGGCTTCAAATGAATACCAGCCCTGAAGTTGCTGCGACAACTCGGATTATCTATGGAGGTATATTTTAGTATCTATTCGGTACCCTACCTTATTGTATGGTCCTGGGATTATTTAATTGTTATCTAGTTTTAGATGCACTTAATAACTTTCGAACAGTTACCTACCACAATGATCTTCGAACGGTTTGAACTTTGAGCTTCACTCTAACTAAACAAGTTAGATTCAACCTCAAATTTACTGGTTTTTCTCCAAGGTCACGGAATTTAGGGAAAGGTAGATTATTACCATCACAATGATCTCTTATGAGGCTTACTACAAGCTGTCTTGCTTTCTGTATAGAATAACCATAGAAATCGAATTTGACAGTACTTCAAGGCAGAGAATACTGCCAATGGGTAGCATGGCAACAATGCTTCTGCAGATACCTGCATGTATAGAGGTGTGATTGGATAGCCTGGCAACAATTCTGAGAAGGTGTTGCATATGCCTTGGTCATTTTGGATAGAATTGACACAGTATCTTGAATGTTGATGACACAGTGGTCTGGAAGAAAATAGTCAAGTGAAACGATGCCTAGGCCTAGGGCTGCACAACTTGGGCAGGCTAACCCAGCCCAACCCCAACCCAGAAATTTTAAATTTTGGGCATATAATTCACAAATCGGGCTCATGTTCGGGTTGGGTTTTGTCAAAACCTAGACATATTCGGGTTGGGCTTGGGCTCAACCCGAACCCAACCCAAAACCCAAAATTAATTAATTAATTATTATTATTTTTTTTTCCATTCTCTCTCTCTCTCTCTCTCTTCTTTCTCTCTCTCTCTTGCTCAGCCGCTGATCCGCCGCTGTCCCTCAGCCGCTGATCCACCGCCGCCGCCGTCACTTCCAAAAATTAAAACAAAACCATACAAGTTAGCAAACAAACAGCTTGCAATACACAAATATGAAACATGATAGCTTCATAGTTGACATGGAACGCTTCCCTCAGCACACTCAAGTTTTCCCTTTATCTTCTCCATATGCTCTGTGATGATTTTTTGTCACCCTTCCTCTGTTTTCCTTCCAAGTTTCGGAATTTCGTTTTCTTTTTCCTGTTTCTAAATAATTCATTTTCATCATCATTCTCTTGATTGATTTTTTATCACCCTTCCTCTGTCAACTTGATTGATTCGGGTTGAGGTTGGGTTGGGACTGGATTGGGTTGGGGGCAGCTCAACTTGCAGCCCTACTTAGGCCTCAGTTGTCAAAAATACAAGATGCCTTCATTTGACTAATTAATCCTTCATATAATATTAGATATAGAGATTTTGATGCTCCTATATCTTGAAAATATATCAAAAATATTGATACTGTGAACTCAAAGATGCTCCCCTTGCTGAAAAATCTGCTGCAAGAATGTCCTAGGTCATGAAGTTTGACTTTGGAGTGCCCTTTAATGTCTCGAGGAAAATGTGTGAGAAGAAAAATCGCAACGAGAATCTTATAATTTGGCCTTCATTATTGAAAATATGAACTGACCACCAAATGTAGGCTATGCGTTGTCGATTGTTAGGCATCAGTTTTAATTTGTAGGATCCTAATTATTTTCAGAAGTGAATAACTATTGAATTTGACTTTATTGCTCTAAATGAATCAATGTTGCAGGTTCGGTCAACGGTGGTAACTGCAAGGAATTGTCAGGACAACCTGATGTTGATGGTTTTCTGGTTGGTGGCGCTTCTCTTAAGGTAATAATGTTCACGCATTTCTCACTTGTCTCTCTCCTTCACTTGTTTGTGTCCTCACACTCTCCTCTCGCTCTCTGTCTCTTTCTCGAACAGCCTGAATTTATCGACATCATCAAATCCGCTGAGGTGAAGAAGAATGCCTAAGTTTGTTATCAATTATGAATAGATAAAATTTTGAAGTTTTTGCTAGGGAAGGTATAACATCCGTTTTATACCGACACTTTTAAGGAGTTAAACTATTATGCCTTCGCTCTTTGGAAAGCACTTGGAATTGGATTTCATGTATGAATAAATTTGACGTACTATTCTCCTATGATCCTTATCTTATGCCCATAAACTGACATTTTTCTTTTTAGATTGGGTTTTTTTCTGTGGAAATGAATGTTGGTAGAAGTTACTCTGTTGTCTGCTTTTTGGAAATTTTGATGGACTGACCCACTGCATGGTTGAAATTTGTGTGTCCTTTTTGCCATTTTTTCTTTGTAGAAGTGTGTGTGTTTCTCTTTGTAGAAAATCTACCATAGCGTCAATCCCTCCATAATTTTGTAGTCAACAAGATGACCCAAGAATCAAAGATGTGTTTCGAATGGTTTTTTTGGGAAATTCATTCTTGTCAATTATTTTGAATCCTTTACCAAGAAAATTAAGTTATTTTATTTTATTTTTCCTGGTTAAGTTATTTTATTATAATTATAATTATAATTATAATGAGGCTTTTCAGGGCAACCGTACACCAGTCAACCTTGTGTGTACCATGTGTTGGGTTGCTTATCTATATTCCTTTAAGGTTGGCTATATATATTACGGAGTAGTACTATATTGACAATATGTGCCCCATGTGAAAGTAAGGTGGATTAAGGTAGAGGGTAAGAGGACCACAAAGAAGGGAAAGATTCCTTGATTCAATCACTAGGTCCATCAATCCAATTTGTTAATAATTATATTAATTACATAACAAATTGAATTGATGGACCTAGTGAAAAAATATGAAGGAAAAAAACAAAAAATAATGTACTTGAAATATATAATGTACAAATCTAGCGGAGGGAAAACCAATCACGTGCTAGTAGCCTAGTGCTATTGTTAGTGTGTATTTGTGTTTCCGTTAGAAATTTCAAGTGCTTATCTACATTATATGATGTTGGCATCACTAATAATGATTTTTATTTACACACTATTAATTGGTTCTTAGTTGGAATGACGACAACTAGATGTGCCATTTATTTATACATGTTTAACTTTTGACAATATTTTTCTTCTCTTCTCTCACGATGTTAATCATTTAGGCATGTTGGATACCTTTTTTTTGTTTTTAGTGTTTCTGTTTTTTGTCGGTACTATAACAGTGAACAGTAAAAAAAATTTGGTAAAAAATATTTTATTTTGCACAGTGTCAGAACGTTAGCGAATAGTGATCAAAACATCAAGAACATCAATTTGATAGCACTGAAGTGACGAGTACTTTAACAATGAATAGTACAATGAATATTATTCAAAACACTTTATGCCAAAAACAAATATGACCTTATCAAGTGAATGTATCTTCAATAATTTTGAATTGGATTCACACAATGAAGGGAAAGACAATGGAAAAGAAATAAACTAATGTTTGGTCCTCTAAATGATGGAAAAGTGGATGGAAAGAAAGGAAACACTTCGAAGGAAATGAAAATATATTTTCCTCTCTTTAATTGGTTGAGTAAAACAGTGCAGATGAAGGTGTTACTTTTCATTGTTTGGTAAGAAGCAAAGATGTTTTACTCTCTTTTTTTACTTCTATGAACAAATCGATGAAGGTATAATAATAGCCCCTTACATTATTATATATGATTGTTATTTTTCTCTTTCCTCCCTTCTCTACTCACTTTTGGAGGAAAGACAAAATGGTGGACCAAGAATCATGCAACATTCCCTTTGCTTCAACTTTTCCTTTCTTGCCCTATTCCCTCTCATTTCCTTTGCTTCTCTCCTGCCGTCCAACCAAACGCAGAATAACACCAATGGTTGCAACAACTACCTAAATTACACTTTGGGTTCGAATATATATATATAATTTATTAGTTGTATGTGGACGCAATTATACAATTTCAAGTAGGAGAGAAATGTCTACGTTCCCGTGTAGATGATTAGATCAAATTGGCAAAATAAAAAATGGTTTGCCAGGCTGTTTAAAGAACAGAGTCAAACATGAACTGAGCATCAAGAGTCAAGATATACCAAACAATGAGCTTTCATGTGAAATTGATTGCAGAAGCACACACACTGACACACACACACACTGACACACACACACTCTCTCTCTCATATATATGTATCTATATATGTCACCTTTTTTGGTTGTCCAAGCTATAGTTTGGATAGAAAAGATTTCATTAGTCACGAAGCTTTTGTCGTCTGGTTTGGCACTTTACCACTTGCTTCCTTTTTGTTCTTCTTTTTGGGTTGGTGGATGTCTCTGTTTGGCTCAATAATATCTCCATCTTCTTCCACATGGACTTTATCTGAAATATTAAAAGTGAACGAGATCACATTACTCGTGCTATCCAAGGTGGAAATGAGTCAGATATTTATGGAACCAAGCACTGATTGGAAATATCTATACACCCACTAATATATATATATATATACACACACACACACACACCCATTATGGAGAGGCCAACCATTACTTGTTTCAGAATAGATTTTTATATACCAAACATGTGTGTTGATAATGATGAACTTGAAAATACCAGACGAAAGAATTCCATAGATATGTTTCAAGTGATAAACATAGAATCCACTTGAAACACATGTAAAAAAAATAAATCAAGTTTTAAGGTCGAATAATTCGGCTTAAATATTATTTTCGTAGCAAAAATGGTGTTCTAATTTCTTTACAAGTAGGCAGTCATGTACCCTTTTTTGTACATGTAATATGTTTATTTAGAGGACAGATTCGCCATTGAATGGCCTTACTTTGGAAACTAATTAACACGCGAAAATCAGCTTGTTTAATTTGTCACAAAAAAATAAAAAAAAATAAAAAACCGTTTCAGATAACTATAAAATACACACACATTTTTTTTTTTTAACTGGTTTATTTATTTATTTTAACTAAATTTTTAGAAAATAATTCTTATAAACTAATAATCAAGTATATTTTTGGTACAATTTTCTTTCTTATTTTTATTTTTATTTGGGTATATTTTTGCACAACAATCAAATATCTTTTGAACCAATTGAGTTGGTGGTAATTTGCAACAGCAACATAAGGTCTCAATTACCTTGGCGGCATTAATTTGATTCCTTAAATATGAGATTGGAGAAAATTTAATTCATAATTTGAACTAAACTTTCTCCAATCTCAAATCCAAGTTACCAAAAATATTTTAAAACACAGTCGAATAAGTAAAGAATGATATCATTTATTTTCTTTTGTTCAAAAAAATTAAAAATTATTAAATGGTTCCAAAATCATTAGTCCTTAGATTATGTAATAATTTATCTTTTTATACAAATACTTTGATAAAATAAATGATAATTGACTCGAAACCTTGATGACGAGACTATGTAATAAATCTGTAACATATAATTAGTTAGAGGAGAATCCGCTTTTGTATAAGTACATCTTTATATATTAAATAAGCAAAATAATACTTTCCAAAAAAAAAATTTAATAAAAATTCAGTGAGCTATATAATTAAGTTACTTTAGTTTTTTGTTTTGTTGAGAGCACATAGTTTTGGAGTACCTAATAATTACTTTTTCCATTTTCTTAAAAAAAAAAGTGTCGCACCACTATTTCAAATTGACTGTTATTGATGTGCAGAGAAACAAAGTAAAACCCAAAAATTATTCACCCAAAAAGGGCAAAAAAAAAATAAAAAAAAACCAAGGAAAAATTGTACAATGAGAAGTGAGAACCGGGTCCAGTTGATCAACCCGCCAAGCCAACAGCCAATCATAGTGGCGCCATAAAAAAAGAAAGAATCATAAGATTCATAATCAATCGATCACCATATTAAGACGACTGTTGTCGATTCCAATCCAACGGTCGAGAATCGCTGAATCAGTGCAACTCTGTCGTCTGGCTGTTACGGTCCCTCATCCCCACCCACCCGCCATTAACAATAGTCTCTCAACTTGCAGCTAAACGCAAGAGGCAAAATACAAGCTTCTCAAGTCAACCTTTTTGCCCTTCGCGAAGGTATGAAAGTGTTCTCGTGAAGCAGATATATAAAACCCTTATTGATTGAAAAACTATATATATATATCTCTTATATCTATATATATCTATTTTCAAACACACTTGTTTATGTTCACACTGTTTGACCTTATTTTGCTTTTTCTTGTTTTGAGCTCTACGGATCATAAATATCAGATTTCTAAAGGAAGTGGGTCTTTAACTCTCTTGTTAAAGGGGAAAAAGGACGTGAGAGAAGATCAGTTTGAGTTCATGGGTTCTTGTTTCAGTTCTCGAATCAAAGCTGAGAATCCACTTCATGCTGGTACATCTAACTTTTTTACCCTAATTATTGTGGTTTTTTGTGACTGTTTTTATCTGTTGACATTGTTCAATATTGATTGATGAAATTATGCATATGGGTTTACAATCTCTCTGCCTCTCAACATTTTCTGAGTAAGGATTTGATGAATTTCTTGGATGGATTTGTGGTAAATTCAATTTGCTGATATGGGTTTCAGTTATTATCCTTAAAAATTTTGTTTTTGGTCTCTAATCTTTCGACTTTATTTAACTGAGATTGTTTGATTTATACGAGGATGTGCCCCTTGTTTTCCTTGCATGTTTTGTTTCCTGATAATCTGGGTTCATTTAAAATTCACTGCCATGTTACTTCAAATGAATGATACACACACATACACACAGTTTTTTTAGTTGTTATCTGGATGACATCGACAATGAATTCGATAAGTAGACCCTTCATTCTTGTGTTTGTTTGTTATTCTCTTGAATCAAATGGGGCTTATACTTATTGTGCAAGTTGATTTTTTACAGCAAAATTTGCTACCATTTCCTTGAAGATCTATGGAATTTACATGTATATATTAATATATATATTCACAGCATACACAATATATATTACATATATGCGTGTGTGCATGCATGAACATACATTTTCTTTTGGCCGATCATGAACAAGTGTGGTTTATCAACAGAGCAATTCAATTTAATATGGATTGTCTCACGAGAATTGAATTGCTCCATCTTGTAATGGGGCTAAGTCGCACTTTGAGACTCGGTATATTTGAGAGAGATTGAGTTTGTTTAGAAGTTCAATTTTGGTCTGGAATTGTTAGGTGAACTAATGGATGTTTATGGGAATTCATATACTTGTGTAGGGTTGAATTCGATATTTAGCAGAGATCGAAAAAATTCTAGTAATTCAAGTAGCAAGGTCTCATCTGCATCTGCGCCACCTACTCCTCGGACTGAGGGTGAGATTTTACAATCTTCAACTTTGAAGACCTTTACCTTTGGCGAACTCAAAACGGCCACCAGGAACTTCCGTCCTGATAGTGTGTTGGGAGAAGGTGGTTTTGGCTGTGTTTTTAAAGGATGGATCGATGAGCAGACATTTACAGCTGCCAAACCAGGGACTGGTATGGTCATCGCTGTGAAGAGACTTAACCAAGAAGGTCTTCAGGGTCACAAGGAATGGTTGGTGAGTATGATCTCTAGCTTTCTTAGCGTTCTTGATGTTGTATTGTCTTCGTACCAGAATCTTAAAAATGGTACCTCTTACTTTGGTTGGGTACATTCAGGCATACAAGAACCTAAAATGTGCATTCCGCATTTAATCTAAGAATGAATTTTTAGTTTCGATGAGTGTTATCTACCATGTCAATAAAGCATTACTAGAATTTCCCTAATCATATTGGCTCTTGATGTTGGATTTTGGCCATGTTCCAGTTAGTACTTTCAAACAAGATAATTATTAATTTGTGACTCCTCTTCAACTATAGGCAGAGATAAATTATTTGGGGCAGCTGTATCATCCCAATCTTGTGAAATTGGTCGGGTATTGCTTAGAGGATGAGCATCGGCTTCTAGTATATGAGTTCATGCCACGGGGTAGTTTGGAGAATCATCTATTTAGGAGTAAGTTCGTAATGCATATCTGTTCAATCAATCCACTGATTTTTTAAAGAAGGAATATTATTTACAGCCTCCAATTCTCTTTTATACATATGATTAAGAGACACTAGTGTTCTTTGAACAGGAGCTTCTTATATTCAACCGCTTTCTTGGAACCTTCGTATGAAGGTTGCTCTTGGTGCTGCAAAGGGACTTGCATATCTCCACAGTCCAGAAGCAAAAGTGATATATCGCGATTTCAAAACCTCTAATATCCTTCTTGATTCTGTAAGTGAAATATTTTAATTGTTCAAGGCTTCTGAAAGTTCAACTGTACCTGTGTGTCTCTTATAAAATTTTCGTTATTAATTGACAGAACTTCAATGCAAAGCTTTCTGATTTTGGGTTGGCCAAGGATGGGCCAACAGATGGTGAAAGCCATGTCTCTACACGGGTTATGGGCACTTATGGTTATGCAGCTCCTGAGTATGTGGCCACAGGTATTCAAAATTCTCAGCTTTGTTCATTTTCATGTTTGTATGCCTACATCCTCTTTCTTCTAAAAAGATTTTATTGATCCCATGCAATTAATTTCCTGTAGCATTTTATCTTACCTTCTTTTGTGGCTTAGTCATGCATCAAACATGAGTATCATTTACTATAAAATTCTGAAGGATGAGTATGTTTTTGTCATCGTCTTATTTTCCTCAGTATCTTGTAGCATTTAAGCAGTGGTACTAAATTTTGATATAGCTTCAATTATGATGACAACTATTTTCCTGCAATTGGAATGGTTGGGATTAAGAACCACTTTGTGATCTTCTTACTGTCAGTTGTCCTCTCACCCTCTAACCATTATCATTAAAAGTTTTCCTCTATTTATGCTCTGCACATCCTCTTAGTTCAGACTTTTAAGACTCTCTCTCTCTCTCTCTCACACACACACACACACACACACACACACACACACGGATATGTCATTCTGGATCAAATCACATTCTTTTCCTACATTCTGATCCTTAGTTCATTCTCTTCTTGTGAAGGTCATCTAACTCAGAAAAGTGACATCTATAGTTTTGGAGTTGTTCTTCTCGAGATGTTGACTGGGCGACGAGTGGTGGACAAGAACCGTCCACCCGGGGAACACAAACTTATTGAATGGGCTAAGCCTTACCTAGCCAGCAAACGGAAAATGCTTCGTATAATGGATCCTCGTATCGAAGGCCAGTACTCACCAGGTGGAGCACTGAGAGCAGTTACCATTGCCATCAAATGCTTAGCAAATGAACCCAAGTTCAGGCCAAACGTGAATGAGGTGGTGAAAGGATTGGAGCAGATTCAGGAATTGAAAGACACGGAAAGTCCTAGAAGCGGATCCGTCCAAAATAATCACAGCAAATTAAGCAGTGGTCGGAAGTCTGACAGAACATGTGCTAATGAAGCTTCCAATGAGAAAGCTGTGACTTCTCCAAGGCCATCTGCTTCCCCGGTTCATGCTTAAAGGAGATGTTCGATACAAATGCAGAAAAAGATTGTTGCTTCAGAGTAGACAGAAAACAAATACGGCAGATGTGATATACGGAGCACATAAGTTCAGGAGCTTGGACGTGTATATAGTTCTTTGCATTAATTTAGTTGATGTATTTAATATTGATACATTTGACACATTGTTGTTCCTGGAATATGAGTTTATATGAGAAACATGAGGGGATTAGTCCCCGAGAATTTCGACTGTTCATATCGCTTGTGAATCTTGTCATCAGGATTCGGGAGAGACAGGGACGACATGTTTATAATACTGCGATGATATTACTCCTCTTTTAATGTAGTATGTATTGGATTTATAATGTGAAAAGTCTTGGCTTGAAAAGAAATTTTAGTGCAATGTGGTGTCATTTTACAGAAAAGAAGGAAAAAATAGGAAAAGAAAAAAGTATTTGTTTAGGTAATGAATTATCGAATTTGAATCATAATATCTGATTTGTTTAGGTAACGAATTATCCAATTTGAATTAAGGTTCTGATCAAAATCAAATTGATTGGAATCATTTTCTAATTTTTATTTAACATTCATGTAAATTCCAAGGCCTAATTCAATCTGTACAGTGAACCTTTGCAGCGTACCATTAATTGGAATGAGCACTTAAAAAATATTTTATTCCAAATGAGAAAAAATGGTTAGATTACATGATTTTTTTTTTACCAAGATTACATGAAAAGGGGGATAACTATAGGTATAAGAGAAAAGAAAGAAAATATTATTATTATTTTTTATTTTTTCTAAGTTTAATGGCAAGAAATTAAGGAGGACAAACACAAGGAGCTAGATGCACAAAGGGATCTTAAAAAAGTAAAATTTCTCTAATTAACTCCTTAATGTGCTAATTGATTGGTGTTAATTAAAGAGGAAAAAGAAAAGAAATGATAGTCTTATCATTAGGGTCAATATATATATATATAGAAAATATCTATTTTAATAAATTTACAGATATATCTTTTCACATCTTTCACATTTAAGAGATATAGATATATATATATATATATATATATATATATATAGTTAGACAAATATAAAGATTGTGTAAAATATCATTCAAATCAAAGTGACAATTTGAATAAATAAAGAAAGAAGAGAAAAAAAACATATCCTAGGAATCGTATATAGTTTTTTATTTTGCCCTTTATAAAAATAAGGACAAAATTGTATTAAAATATTTTATTAAAATTTAGGATTAATTTTTCTGACACTCCTTCAAGGACCAAATATCATATTGAAATATCTTTCAAAAAAAACTATCACTTATATTATAAATGTTTGTTTTGTTTTCCAATGCCAGTTTTTTCGTATAAAATGGCATTGCTACACTTTTGACTTGGTGTTAACTTACAAAATGACACAATTACCCATATGACCATTTAAGGGACCAAAATGCCTATTGTTTCTTCAGCAGCTCTCACCCAAAAACCTTACAAAAAGAAAAAATATCACACATATATATAAATTACTCTGAATAAGAGGGACAAAGGCAAGAAGATAACAGAAGGATCAATTGCGCATACACACCTATATATGTAAATGGTCCATTAATATTCTGAGCTTCAATGACCAAATCCCAGCCGACCAAATCATTCCGGTGTAAGGCTTCAACTGATTGACCCAATTGGATTAGAGCGTCAACGAATCAAACGGCGAAGAGCAAAGAGCATTGGCGTCCATGGCAGACCGGTGAAAGCTTCTGCTTCAAACAACCCATATTGAAAAACTTCAGTCAGCTAAAAATATATAGTGCAGAAGCTCCATCAATGTGATAACCATCGAAACCCAGAAGCTTCAACATCAAAATTCAGCAAGCTTCACAAAGACAACATTTCCGGCGAGCTTCAAATTGCATTTCCGGCGAGCTTCATAACATCAGTACCCAACCACGAGCATTATATCTGTGTGTGTGTTTGTGTATATATATATATATAATACAAATTTTTGTTTGTATATCTGTGTATATATAAATATATATATGTATATTATATATGTGTGTATATATGGATATGTATGATTGAAATGTTTATAGAGAGATATTTTGCAAATTGGCAGAACCCCTGTTATTATATTCTTTGTTGGTGGCATTCTCTTAGTATTTCTTCCCTCTGGTTTTTGTGGTGTTCTATGTTGGATTCTGGGGACACCAACCAGAGAGAAAATTAAGTGCATGCATCCAAATTAAGTTGCCTCATATTAAAGCTCACCCATGGCACAAGGTTTGTTGACAATTGTCTTGGAAGGATGTTGCTTCAGCTCATCTTGATTGATGTTGGGTGTATTATGTTGGAATTATATATATATATATATATATATAAATAATAAAAATTATTTTATGGGCGTATGCATTACGTTTTTTAAAGTAGAATTGCAATGTGATTATTGATACCTGGGTTTGTACTTTCTAATTTGGTGGTCTAATTGAGAGTATGGTTTTATACCGTTGGATTGTGGTTTTCCAACTTATTTGGTGTGATTTATTTTTAACCATTGATATATAAGTTTTCATGATAGGAAGGGAAACTTAGGTATGCTTGTTTGTAGAGAAGTCATCCCTTCTGTTGCTGTTATATATAGGGGTTTTAAAATCCTTATTCAATCCCATCGTATCAACCACTTTCAGAAATGGGTAAAACGCTCTATTTTCAAATCTCTCAAAAGGGCGATAAAAAATTCTCAAATGTATCTACAGTTAATTTTTCCTAATCAGGTATGATATCAAAATCACTCTTTAATTGATGATTAATTTTGATTTTTACTTGTAATTTGTTTTAAATCCAACAATTGGTATCAGAGCTCAGGTTAGGGTTTGTAGAAATCAAAATAGTAAAAATTAATTTATGATACTTGAACCGATGTATTTGAAATCGCACTGATTACCTTGGTGTCCTCGATTTATGAGTGATTAATTACATATGAAGTCTAAAAATTGTGTGTTTGTACTGGTACATGGATATATAATTGATTCATATATATATATATATATATATATATATGCAAGGTTCTGTTTTAAATTACTATAATATATTTTGTACGCGGAACGAGACCCTTTGGGTCCGTTTGGCATGTGCTTTGTTTTTGGCGTTTTATTTTTAGTTAAAACGGAAACAGTGTTTTTGCTGTAGGAGTGTTTTGGAAAAAATTCGGAAGCTCGTTTGGGAACGATATTTTGCTGTGGAAATGTCGAAAGCAAAAACATGCAAAACATGTTTGGTAAGTTATGCGTTTCAAAATTTTTGAAAACAAAATATATTTGGTCAGTCCAACTGTTGTAAAAAAAAAAAAACAGAAATAAAAAAACATGTTTGGTTATCCTTGTTTTTTATTTGTTTTTATAAATTTTATGTATATTTATAAATTGTTATCATATTTTTAATAAATATGGAGAAATTTGAACCCACAAACATATATATATATATATATATATATATATATATATATATATATAAATTTTTTCAATAACCTATTTACAAGTTGTTTGCAATAACTCACCTCAATTTTATTATCATTATACATGTATAGTCCAACACAACATTAAAAATAAAAATATTTCTAGTCACATTTTACTATACTACATGAGAATCAACATTTGTAAAAAAAATTAGCAATAACCTATTTACAAGTTCTTTGCAATAACCTGCTTCAATTTTATTATCCTGTTACCTGTATAGTCCAACACAACATTAAAATAAAAACAAACCCAACTGAAAGCATAATTGAAATAGAGTGTATACCATTTACAAGTCTTTAAATATTCAACCAACAAATTAAACAAGTTTAAGTTGTACATAAAATGTTTGGAACAAAGCATTAACAATACATAGTTGTCAGTAAAAATTGATAAGAAGTTCATAAAGTGGATGACAATGGCAACGACACATCATCTTCATAACAGCACATGTGGCCTTTAAGAGAACATCAACACACTTCATATCTGCAATAATAGCATTTAAGTTGAATTATATATCTGCAAAAATGATTTATATTACATATATATATTACAAGCTTACAATAGCAACAAATATATGACATATAAAAGAAAAAATATACCATCACTTTCAGAAGGATCAAAAGTGCTAAAGAGAATTCCAAATTCGATCAGCAATAGTATTACGCAACTGATCCATTTCTCGAAGCTGAGCCGAAGGCACATGCTCAACAATCTCATCATCTTCACCATCACTTTGAGGAGGATCGTTACTATCAAATAAATCATCAGGCTGATGCTGATTTCTGATGAAATTGTGTAATGTGCAACAAGCCATTACAATCAATACTTGTGTTGAAAACTTATAAGGAGGCATTGCCCTCAAAATAGCGAATCTCATCTTCAACAACCCAAAGCATCGCTCAATTATATTTCTCAAAGATGAATGCCTATGATTGAACACTTCCTCCCGACCACGAGGTTGTCTAGTCCTACGATATTCCTGAAAGTGGTAAGTATGACCTCGAAATGGGGCCAAATAACCAGGCTTGTTGGCATATCCTGAGTCCACCAAATAATACTTACCTGCCATGTTTAAAATACATAAAGATATATACAGTAAGATAAACTAACCATATATTAAGTGAATTTGTAAGATAATATTACCTGCTGGTGGAGCTGGAAAGTTCATTGCCTCATTCTCAATACACTCCTTTAGGATTCTCGAATCATTAGCGGAGCCTTCCCACCCAGCTAGCACATATGTGAACCTCATGTCAAAGTCACATACAGCCATTACATTTTGTGTGGTATAACCCTTTCTACCACGAAATGGAAGTTGTGTACTTGTTGGCAGAGTTGCAGGAATGTGGGTTCCATCTATAGCTCCCACGCAATTCTTGAAGTAAGGGAAAAACCTAGAAGACTCTCTAATCTTATTCGGAATCACAGAAAAATCAGGAGGGGTAATGATATGGGTGCCCAACTGACATACTACATGTAACACAGCATGGAAGTGTCTGGAAATGGTTTCAGTGGAGTGTTGAAATCTCTCAGCTACAACACGATTCCTTTGATTATGAGATAAAGTGAGCAAAAAGATTGCCACTTGTTCATAAACAGTTAAAAATTTAGAATCTTTCAGCCCTATACCTTTCAGGGTACTACACAATATTCTAAAAACTTCAGGATACATCCTAAAATTTTCATAACATCTTTCTCTGTGGCCGTTTAAAATCTCCATAACATACGTTTCCCCTTGTAAAATGGAATCCCTACAACGCCTCTTTTGATAGAAGTTCTGCTCTTCTAAAAGAGTAGCAAATATTAAGACACTCTCATTGTCCTCCTCATCGTCATAAAATTGAATTATTCTTCTTATATGGTTCCACATATCCATTGCCCTATTTAAAGATTTAATAGAAGCAAAACATTTAAGTTAATAAGCAAAACAATTAAATAATAAACAAAATATTTAAATAATAAACAAAGCATTTGAGTTAATAAGCTTAACATTTAAGTAATAAATAAAATATTTAAGTTAATAAGCAAAACATTTAACTTAATAAGAAAAACATTTAAATAATAGCAGTACAGTCATCCAAGAAATAAAAGTATTTAGTTATTACAGTCATCTAAATGTGAGATAGTAATAAGTTAAACAAACAACAAAACACAATCATCCATAAAGAAAGACTCAAACATTTAGTGCCCAACCAATTCTTATCTCCTCAGGAGAACTGAGAAAAAATTTCTGCCACTTCTCAGAATCATGTAACAACTTCGATACCTTAGCAAATTGGGCCATCTCAATTCCAGGTATTTTTTGTAAAAGGAGCATGCAGGCTTCAAACATTTCATCATCTTTATCCTTTTTAGAGGGAGAGAGAACTTCATCATCTCCTTTCTCACATGAAGATACACGAGTAGAAGTAGAAGGTGCTTTAATTGCTTTCTCTATTGCAGCTTCCATTCTCTCAGTTCTCCTCGCAGAATTCTCATCCATGCCTGACAAGAGTGCAGCCATACTGGGAGATAAACTATCTCTTTTGGCTTTCTTACTTTTACGTAAAGGTGGGGGACTGACATGACAACCCTCTTCCTCATCATCGTCATCATTGGGAGTGGGCAAAATGATTGTGGGGGGTGCTGTAGTGGAGGGGTGGGCATGCATTCCTGTTGCATATGTGTCCCCAAATATAGTCGACATCTTGTCAAAATGCTTATATCCATGTCTACGAAACTTATTTGTACCCTTAATAACCTACAAAATTTTGTTACAATATTAACCTCATAACAAATAATATACGATATTTTATTATTTATTTAGGACTAATAATTAAATTACTAACCTTGCTCAACCTGCCCCATCTCTCTTCCTCAACTATAACCATGCCCGTCTCATGGTTATATCCCACGCCAGTCTCCGATAACAATTTCTTAAACTCGATATAAATTGTCCTCAATTGGTTAAACTTATTCCGAAGTTGGGTTTTGTCAAATTTTATCCCTGTTTGAACCTTCATTTCTTTTACCATAGTAGTCCAACCTTTTGGATTAAATGTTGTGTCAGTACGATTGCCAGCCCTAACTTGTTCCTCCATAATATTACAGAATTTTTCAGTAAGTGAGTCATCCCATAACACTTTTCCATCTTTCGTAACTTCAGCCACCCCTTCTTCTTCAATTGTCAGATATTCACCACATTGTTCCACATTCTCAACATTGATATCCATCTAACAGATTAATAACAACACTATAATTAATAACAACAAAAATAATATATATTACTTCAATAACTCATACTATTACTTCAATAACTCAAAGCCATATAAGTTCAAGCATATCATGAGTTAAAAGTAATTCAATTGGGGATGGAACTTGAGAAAAATAGAAGAGAAAAATAGACCTCTAGCAGCAATTCAAGCATCTAATGAGTTAAAAGTAAAACAATTGGGGATGGAAATGTGAATTAGGGCACGAACCCTTGAATTGGACCAATTATATATATATATATATATATATATATATATATATATATATATATATATATATATTCCCTTTCGTTTACTTCAACATTTTATTACTCAGTTTTCAACATTATTTTCTTCGCAGCCAAATGGTAAAGAATTACTGTGAACAAATGGTGGTTCAAAAAGATGTTGACAGATGCAGTTCCACAAGTTGCGGCGAGAAAAGGGAATAGAATTGATACAGTGTACAATCAGTTCTAAGTTTGTAACTTAGAAGTTATAACGACCATTATATTCACTAGGCCATTTTTTGGGCTCTCTGGTCCTCTAGAGTGATGCAACATATAGGACCCACCTTTCCACTATCTCACCCATTAATCACTCAGTTAATTTTTATTTATTTATTATTATTATTATATATGTTAAAAAAAAAAAAAAAAACCCCACATGCACACTCACTTTCTTCCTATTTAAACTTCAATCCTCACTCCTTCTATTTTAAAAATCGAGAAAGTATTACTAAATTACGATACTGCCTCTCCTCTCTACCACCACTACATTTGTTAATTTTTCGTAATTCATACCACATTCAAGAAATTTGAACCAAGCTCAAACCAACCCGTGTGTCTATATATATATATTTCCCCCTCTTTTTAAGACAAATTTTTAATGCATAAGCAGTAAGATATATAATGAATGAAGATATGTAATAAAATAGGGTGAATATTGGGACATGATTTTAACCATCCAATAAGCCAAACAAGTGCACAACTACCACATTACCGATCATCCATTGACCCAAATGGCCCAGCATTATCACTCATTCTTTTCCAAATGGGAGGTTGGGAGTTTGAACCTCGGTGGAGGTAGTAGGATGTGTACATATTTGCTTAAAAAAAAAAAAAAAAAAAAAAGTCATTCATTGACCCAAGTCACAACGCTCCAGTAACATCAACCTGCATCACCACTATCTACCCAAAATCCAACACCACTCTTGTGCCACATCCAATTCAACTTAAAATCAACATATCTACCAAAATAAACACCATTAAAAACCTCCTCTTTTTTTTCTTTTTCCTTTTTGTTCCTTTTTCTTTTCTATTGCACTTTCTGGACTACTTATTATAGGATGATTTTTTAACTTTACAGAAAGGGAAACACTACAAACGTCAATGACACAATGTTGTTGTTGTTGTTTTTTATTTATACAAGTCTGTGTTGTTGTTACAAGAGATTACAGCTAAATTGCAGAATAAAACCTTCCACTCAAGTTGTGCAATGTACTAGACTTATGACTCTAAATTTTACCATTGTCCTGTCAAAATTATGCAAATTTATAAAAAGTTGTAAATGAACACAGAAGATGTGACCAGTATAATGAGAAAGATAAATTAATTAACATAAAATTACAGACACTGTGTTGTTTCTATCATTGTTAACAAGAGAACCTTCACAAAAATAGACTGGACGCAATACAAGTAGGCAAATTAGCCTTAGAAATTGAGAATCAACCATGTGGGTTGAATGAGGGCCTGTTTGGGAGATGTTTTGACGAAGTAAGAATACAGTAGTTTACTTTTCCTTACAGGGTCTAATTTAGTAGCCAGTTGTTGCAATTCAAGAATGTTTTATTTTTTAAGCATGTAGTTTCACCACAAACATATATAAGCAAGAAGGCACATTCCTTATAGCACAACTTCAATGTAATAGAAATTCATAAATTGCACTGCAATGATTCAGTAGGCCCAAGTTACCAATAATCTAGATGATGTCTTCAATGTTCTAATGCGCACTGCACAAATACTGCAATTTGCAGAGATTGGATGAAGTCAAACATATATTTCAATTCAATTAATTTTAACAACAAAACTTATCTGCCCAATACATACCTTCAGTCAACTTCTAATCCCTTGTGTTAACACAAACACATGTACAAACACATACAAATACAAACATACACACGCATTAGCATTATAAAAGTTGCTTTTGTAATAATAAAAAAATGGCCGACTCCCAGAAACTAAATTGAAGAACAAATCATGAAGCATATCTAATATAACAAGTCTAATAATTAGGAAATTCATCAATCATCATGCCAATGCTATTTCAGTGAAGTATTCAAGGAGTGAAACTAGGATTCTGAGAACTCGAAGGTACAATTTGTACCTAAGAAAAACAACAATCCACAACAAGTAACTACGAGTTTCAAATTTTTTTTTTCTTTCTCTTCTTTTTCCAGCGTTTTCTTACCAAACAAACGGAGATTAGGGTTTTGAAAAAAGAGATGGGGAAAATGAAATTACCAACGGCGCCACTAAGAGCACCACCGATTGCAACGCCTGCTGCAATTCGAGTTAGACAGCTATCCTTCGCCATACCTATTTTCTCTCACTAGACTCTCCTTCCCTCCCTCTTTCTCTCTCTACAGATTGGTGACTGAGGGTTTACTTGGGTTTTATTTGAGGTTTTAATGAAAAGGATCAATTGGTGGAAGCCGAAATAACACAAGAGGGGCAAGAACTGTTTCACAGAGGAAAATAAAATGGAGGAAAAGATAAAAACAAGAGAGAGAGGCATGCACCTGGTTAGAGATCGTCGAAGAGATCGGCCGAAAACAGCAGTGGAATCGTCCTTCTTAGTTGTTGCCCAGCCGTCGCCAAGAATCGCCTACAATCGCCAGACCAAACGAGCAAAGCAAACCCTAGATTGTTGCAACTTTTTGGTTTTATACGTGAAACAAGTGTTGCATCCGCTACAGTTAAATGCCCGTTTTTGCTTCTTCCGCTACAGTAATTCTTACCCCAAATAAAACCAAAACAACAAAAAACACCAATTTGGTGTTTCATATTTTGGGCCCAATTTTGAAAATGTTTTACAACTGTTTGAAACACAACAAGCCCAACCAAACATGTTTTGGGCTTAAAAGAGGTTACTGTAGCAAGTCTAAAACAAAACAAAACATCTCCCAAACAGGCCCTTTGT